GAGCCCTTAATGTCCCTTACAGAACCATTTAATGTCCCTAGCAGAGAATTTCAATGCCCTGACAGAGTCTTTCAGTGCCCTTGATAGAGTCTTTTAATGTCCCTAGCAGAGAATTTCAATGCCCCGACAGAGTCTTTCAATGCCCCTCAAAGAGTCTTTCAATGCCACTGACAGAGCCTTTTAATGTCCCTTACAGAGCCTTCCAATGCCCCTGACAGAGTATTTCAATGCCACTGACAGAGCCTTTCAATGTCCCTAACAGATAATTTCAGTATCCCTACCTAACAGAGCTTTCTATTTTCCTTACTAACAGAGCTTCCTATGTCCCTACCTAACAGAGATTTCTATGTCCCTACCTAACAGAGCTTTCTATCTATAACAATAACAGAGCTTTAAATATTAGAAAAAATACAAAATGTGCTGGCACTCAATCCCGTCCTAGGTGCAGGTATTCGAGGTTAACCCCGGTAAGACCTCATAATATCTAGAAATAAATAAACATGAATACTGCACTCAAGTCATATATATGACAAATAACAAACGTTAGTGATAAGGCAATTGATTTATTGTTCCCTTAACCTACTTTTGAAAAATACAGACAATAAGTGATTCTAAGTAATTGCAATTGTTTTCCATGGATTAACTTCATCGTATGTACAGTTGCATTAATTTCATCGTATGTACAGTTGCTATTTACAAATAATGGCAAAACCCTCCATAAATACTGTTTTCTTTCACAAGGTTTAAATTCATCATATGGATATATATACAGCTGGTAATTATCCCACTGGTGGTGTAGAGATGAAGAAAAAGGGGGGTGAAAGGAAAAAAAGCAAAAAAGGCAAAAAAGGGAAAAAAAGGGAAAAAAGAGTCCTTCTATGAAACAGTCCAAAAAGATAGTGCACTATAATGATCTCTATATATAGGTGGATCTCACCAGTATGGATATCCTCTTTGTATGAAGGTCTGAAAAAGCAGGAGGGTTTTCCTGGTTGTGACAAAGTAGATGAAAGTGAAGAGGGTGAAGGAGGTAAATCTGCTCCAGAAGGCTGAAAAGGCAAACCTTCCTCTGTACATTGGCGGATCCGGGGGGGGGGGGGCAAGGGGGCAATTGCCCCCCCCCGAGAGTCCCCCCTGCCGGCTAATGCAGGGCTGGCATTGCCCAAGTGCCAGCCCTGCAATGTGCCTGCAGACCGGTGGGGAGATCAGTGATCTCCCTCCCTGGTCCGCAGGCACTGTGCTGGCAGCAGGTCCGACGGGGGGAGGGAGAGGGAGGAGAGGACCCAGGAGCTCAGCTCGCAGCTCCTCCGGGTCCTCCTCTCGCGAGATTTGGAGCGTTGCCGCGGTTACCACGGCAACGCTCCAAATCTCGCGAGAGTGAACTCTAGCCCTGGAGCGTGGGCTACAGTTCACTCTCCCCACTGGGACCACCAGGGAATCCCCACTGGGACCACTAGGGACTAAGAAATGTCCCCCCTCCTCCTCCTCAATAAAGGTAAGAAGGGAGGGGGGACATAAATATATTTATTTTATTTAATATATTTTTATTATTTATTTATAAAAAAGCCTCCCTTCCCTCCTCTCCCCCCATACACACACTGCCCCCATACACACACTGCACACCCACAAACAATGTCCCCATACACACACTGCCCCCCATACACACACTGCCCCACAAACACTGCCCCCATACACACACTGCCCCCATACACACACTGTCCCCATACACACACTGCCCCACAAACACTGTCCCCATACACACACTGCCCCACAAACACTGTCCCCCATACATACACTGCCCCCTAACACCCCCCACACACACACTGCCCCACACACACTGCCCCATACACACACTGCCCCATACACACACTGCCCCACAAACACTGTCCCCATACACACTGTCCCCCATACACACACACTGCCCCACAAACACTGCACACCCATACACAGACACATACAGTGCCCTACACACACTGCTGCCCCCCCATACACACATTGCCCCACACACACAACCCCCCATACATACAGTGCCCCCCCATACATAAAGTGCCCTCCCCATACACACACTGCCCCACACAGACATACAGTGCTCCCCATACACACACTGCCCCAAACACACATACAGTGCCCCCCATACACACACTGCCACCCTCACACACACACATACACACTGCCCCACACATACACTGCCCCCTAACACACACTGCAACCCTGACATACACTGCTGCCCTCACACACTCACATACACACCTTTCACCTTTCACACACACTTCACCCCTAACACACACCACTGCTTCTATGCCCTATATCCCAGCAGACCTGAGGTAAGTTGTCAAACTGTTCTTAAACGTTATGACTACTTACTCTGGGGTGGTATTCTGACACTACTGGCACCATAACTACTACATTGAGTTGTAGTGGTTATAGTGCCAGGATTATTTATTTAAATAATCTACAAGTGCCCCTCCCGAGATCAGGCTCTGGATCCGCCACTGCATCCTCCCCAACTGATCTAAGTCAATTAAAAAAATATGTTAATGTACAGCTTCTTCGGATTATTAACAATATTTTAAAAATAAAATGCCTCTCACAAAGGAGCCTTGATAGCCGATTTCCCACAGTTCTCCTAGAAAGATGTGCAAACTATGCAAATAAATAGCCTTTGTCTTTGTGCTAAGCTTACCGAATGGCCTTCTTTCTCTCTCTTGTCTCTG